ATGTATAGATATTTTAGGGTTTGAATGAATGAATGTGTTTGTCTAGTAAATTTTTAATATCACTCTTTCCTAAATGATGACACTTGAGCAACTGGCCCAAATCTTCCCTTTTATCATGCTTTATGCTACCGCGCTGGGTACGGAGTTCTAGGGTTAGACGGGTATGCGCCATCTGGAGAGTTTAGGTTAGATGAGTGAATGGGAGCCTATAATGGTCGAGGCGACCAAACCCCTGCTATAGGTTGCCTTCATAGATGAAACCTCGGTGTAGACGGTGGATCATGTCCATTGAAATGATTCATAAGCTTAAAGCCCCAGATATGATAGCGTAGATCGAGGTGACTGAAACATGGGTTTAGGGGAGGCCTATTCGGAGGCGTGTGGATAACGACGAAGGCCCACGGAAAGGAGCTCACTCACCACATTCGATAACCCTACGTATCTATACATGCATAGTATCCCTAAGCTAGGGGGAGGATTAGTTCCCTAAAGTACCTGCTTTTAGCTTTGATCAACCTCTAGACTAGTGTTTCCTCATATCCTTCACTCAAAACCTCAAAAATCGATTACCTAATTTAACAACATGGTGAGAAGTAGGCTAGGGTACCAGGACCCGAGTAGAATACGACATTGATTACCACTATACGGCAATGTTGTCCTAGGTTAAACTTGGTTTAGGATGTGATAGTTGCTGATACGTGCAAACCACTGACAATAATATGCACGGATTCAAGTGATCAGTCTATTCCGCCCTACAACCTGCTACCAGAGACGTTGTATGTTTCTTTTGGCTTAATGCCTCCCCCTCAATACAAAAAAAAAATCCATCCCCACATTATGGACCCAAACGCATTATTTCAGCCCAAATAACTCATTTTGAGTTATTTGGGTACAGAGACCTCATAGAAATAATGCATCCATACGACCACTACATTTGAAATACACCTATCCAATATAAGAAATAATACATCCACCCTCATTGTTTTTGTTCTAAAATATATCAAAGTTGATGTGCTTTTGAAGAGCACAATTAATTGGATTTTTATATGTAAAATAATAAATAAATTATGACTTAAAACGAAAGAGATATAGTCCATTAAAGTTAATTGATAAAAAGGTTAGTTGACTTCCATAAATGGTAAGGGAGGGTTACTTATGGTTATGCATATTGGAACTATTAAATCACAAGTTTAAAAAAATACCAAAAATCGAAATTTCTTTTCCTTAAGAAAAAATCTGGATTTACTGTTCACATAGGGGTATTATGATTATCTGCGGGCGTTTCTAGGTAAGTCTGTGTATTATGATTCCTTTTAAACTTATTTTCATTAATGGGCTCATGTGTAGACTACCACACCTGATCCACATCTCTCTCTTTTTTCCGTGCAACCCCACCATCCTCTTTCATTCATTCCCTTTTCCCTAGGGATGGCAATGGGTCGGGTTGGGTCGGGTTTTGCCAAACCCAAACCCATGGGTTTATCCATGAAAAAAACCCGGGGTAAAACCCACTGGGTTTGAAAAACTCAAACCCAACCCGATGGGTATCCGCGGGTTCATGGGTACCTACGGGTTTTGGTCGTAAAAGATTACAATAACAAGTTCCTATCAAAATTAAAGTCAAATATCAATCTCCCAACACAAATTATCCATATATAAAACACCATTCTAGAAAGTTCAAGCAAATCACAAATTAACTATACAAATTGTTCAACACAAATCTAGAAAACTCAAGAAAATTGAAGAAAATCACAAATTATCCATAGATGACATGATTAATTCAAAGCTTATTCCTTTCAATTAAGTTTATTCACTCTCCACTCGATAACATCAACTTCATTCTTCACAATTAGAAAGAATAAAAATTAGACATGTCTCCACAAACATAAATAAGATTAGTTGTTTAGAATATTAAATATACCGAAAAAATTAATTATATGAGTGTGGGCGGGTACCCATGGGGCGGGTTTACCTAAACCCAAACTCAACTCAACCCGGTGAATATTGAATGGGTTGAAACCCAAACCCGGCCCAAAACCTGTCAACACAGATTTTACCCGTGCTGACCAGGTTGGGTTGGATGGGTACTTGTGGGTTCGGGTTTTATTGCATCCCTACTTTTCCCATTAGAGATTTCAATTTCATTCCCATTTGTCTATAGACAAACCCCATTCATCAACATAAAAGAAAATTTCCGTTTTCAATTCCTTATATGAGTAACATAATTCATACTTGCATAACTATAAGGAATAAAAAAAAACATCACTTATGATTGTTTATTGGTGATTTTTTTTATTTTGGGAATAATATGTCATTGTAGAATTGAGGAAGAACTTGAATTTCCATTGCACCGCAAGATTAATTTAACCTTTGTACAACTATTTCAGTGCTTTTTCATTTTTACATTATGGAATATTTATATTACAAATACATTTCGTAAAAATTATAATTAACTATCATGTTTACCATCACATCAATTTGTATTACGCAAAAATCCTATGAGATACATTAACATTTTCGTTATAATTCAATTTTTTTGTGATACTTTCCATAACTTGATTTTATTATTAGACCAAACACTATGAAATATTTATGTAACACCATTTAATAAAAATTATGTAAATTTATACATTACACAAATATTACAGACAGATAATTATTTATTATGTATCAATTAACAAAATTGCACAACATAAGTCCTAATGAGTAATGACTAAGACAATACACAAACTTTATGGAGGAATAATTTTTTTTATGTAGAAATTAAACAAACATATCACATAAGTCTTCCATGATATAAGTTTTAAACAAATTTCCTAAATTCTGAACAAAATTATTGATGATCTCATCAATTTACATTACACAAAGATTCTGTAAGGTCGATTATTTTTTACATAACAGTTTAGGTCACAATCCTTTCGTGATATATGTTTGAACGAAAATTGCTAAATTATTGACTAAATTGTTGACGATCTCATCAATTTGCATTACACAAAGATTTTCTTAGGTATATTATATTTTACATAATTGTCGATGATCTAATCAAATTTTATACTTTTATAACTTAATTCACTTATTATTAACTAATATTTCTTTATTATTACCTACTATATTCAACATCCCATTTATTTGTATTACACAAATTAAAGCTTATGTAAGATAAGTGAATCTTACACAATAGTTTAACCAAATGTAAGATATGTAACTTCATTTTATTATTAGACTACACATTACAGAAGATGACGTAAGACGTTGTATACCAGTTATTAAAGTACACTATGCAAAATTTATGAAGGTTGAAGGAATAATTATTCTTATCTATCAATCTAACAGATGTGTTACATAAGCATTTCTTAATAATTAAGACACTTCGTAAAGCTCATGGAAGTGTTTTACTTGAACTATTTTATGAATAATAATTTTATTTCAACTAAATCATTGAATTGAATGAGTGAATAAAATTTTATGAAAAATAATTAATTGATTACCGCAGCAAAGCGCGGGCAAAACCTAGTATAAATTATTGTAGTGATTCGCTCTCCTCCTTGTACCCCAATTAATATTTTCTGTTTCTATAAATTATTGAACATTTATCTGATTAAGATATTGTCTGTTTTAAGCTTAGATCCTCACGATTTTTTTCTTGATGTACATTATTCTCGAGAGGTCACCCATCTTTACATTATTCTACATTGAATATATCTAAGTTTGAAGTTTATAAAAGAACTCTTCCATTTTACCCAAACAAGTTAAGGTTAGTTTCTTATCTTTTAATCATAGATCTCACTAATATGAGATTTGGCTAGAATGTTACAATTTATTCCCGCCCCAAGAGGAAAGAACCGGCGCAAAAAGATGTCCAAAACTTTAGAAGATAAAATAACTTCAATGCAAGCCACGTGTCACAATTCTAAGGAATCAACTCAAACTCAATTGACAGAGAACCCTTCCAAGTTCCAAACAATCCCTCCCATTTCCCCCCTCCAATCCCCCAAACCATTTCATCTCATCCGCAAATATTTCCTTCTCCTTTCCGTTTCCCATCACACAGTATTATCCATAAACGAAAAGAGAACCATGAGCTGCAGCAGCTCCTTCACCAACACTCCCACTCTCCTGCACTCCAAACCTTCCCATAACTCCTCAATCAAACCCTCCACCACCACGCCGGCTACTATTCACAACAATGCTGCCATTCCAACAGACAGAAGAAAGCTCGTGACAACTTTCCTGGCCACAACGTCACTAGCAACGCTGGCACAGTTCCATGGACCAGCACTTGCGCCCGCACTGGCTCAGAGCTGGGGCACACGGTCCCAGCTCCTCGAACGCTTCTTCCAGCCGGACCTCTCCCCTGAGGAATCAGTGGAGAGGATTAAACAAACGGCTGAGGGGCTCCATAGCATCAGGGACATGTTGGATGCCATGGCTTGGAGGTTTATCTTGTTCTACATCAGGCTTAAGCAGAACTACCTTGACAAGGATTTGAAGATCGCCATGACCACAGTACCTCAAGGCAAGAGGAAAGAGTATGTAAACAAGGCCAATGAGCTTGTGGACAACATGTCTCAGGTATTGATATAAACATGTCTCAGAGGATTTGAAGTTTTTCATTCTTTTCTTATGTGTTGCTTGCTCACTGCTGTTGCTTGGGCTTGATTTTGGACAGTTGGATTACTATATAAGGACACCAAAGGTGTATGAATCGTACTTGTACTATGAGAAGACCCTACAATCAATAGATGAACTTGTGGAGATGTTGGCGTGAAGGGTGGGAAGAGATAAAGCATGGGCTAAGTTGCAAGTTGTGGAATTTCGTAAATTTACAGCATTGATGAAACTCATGTTCATAACTTCATATATGTAAAAACAAGGCCTGCTATGAACTATGCTTCATCTATATATTATATGAGCTCTCTCTCTCTCTCTCTCTCTCTCTCTCTCTCTCTCTGGCTCCGAAATCAGCAAGACAACATGATTTGATCAGGCTAAAGTACTCGTTAACGTCGAGAGAGAGCCACAGAAGAAGCAATTATGATGACGATGAACAAGATTATGGCGACAAAAGAGCCTATGAGGGATCCAGAAATGCGGTGGCAGAAGTTAGTGAACTGCTGGCAAATTGCAGACCAATTAGCATTGGAATTCCCCTTGTGTGCCAAGTAAACCATTGCTGCTGCTGATGAAGCCCCCGCTGTGAGAATCGACAGCATAACCTTCAAAAACACGGTTCATGTGAACAAAGTTTCTATTAGAGTTCACAATCACAAAGTGCTTCTTATGAAAAGTTACACGTACACTTTAGGAATCAAGTTGCGAGAAAACTAACTTCTGGGTTTAAGATCATACCGTGTCTAAGCTAACCAAGATGATCCTGCTGGTTTTAGCTGAGCTTCTGATGATGTGAAAGACTGATATGGCGAATGAAAGGACAAGGTAGCCACCCACAACAGAGTTGGCTATCACAAAGAACCTGTCTTATAGCAAATTAAGGAGAAAATTGTTCATGAACCCCCTAAGTAGTTTGAAGTGAAGTTAAGGAGAGGGGATTTACGTGAACACAGGGAGATCCTTATAGTTGGTGTTGAACTGGAAAACCTGAGAGAAAGCTGCTACTGTTACTGTTTCATTGGTAGTCCCCATGGCTATGGCACTCCCTAATGTCCCAGCAGCAGCAAGGAACCTGGAAAAGAGGTCTAGAATTGCAATGCCTCTCTTCACTTCCCGGGCTCGGGACGCTTCCCTTGGAGGAGAAGGTCCATCTCCTGGTGCTAATTCAGCAGCAGCTGGTGACTCTGGCTGCTTCATCTGCCCCTTTTCCTGGCTTATGAAATGCCTTCTTTCAGTGCTACAACAGCTTGGAAATCGGTGAGGAAAAAGGAGAGAGTTAAATAGGAAAAAGCAAATGGGAAATAGCAATGTACTTCATCAAACACCTGAGCAAAATTGGACCTTTCTAACTGGATGGAATAGTGGAAAAAGATAAACGGAAGTGGATTAGGTACAATGGAGAGAAGCAGAAATGTGTTGGGTTTCGCAGGAGTAAACAATTAAGCAATTTCCGATTTGGCATTCGCTGATTCGCCAATTGATGATGTCTGATGATGTGAGTTGCTTGATCAAACATTCTTGACTTGGATGATTCTTTCAGAAAACTACCCAATTCCAAAAAGTCTCAATCAGCAAAAGGGTATTGTTTCAAGTTTAACCTTGAAAACGTAAGCTGTTCCTATGTGACCATTGTACTAAGTTCCAGGAAATTCCCTAATTGATCTCTTAACTCCAGTGGAGGAAAAAATCATTGGAAACCAAAACAAGGTATCAGATTGCCGGTTGCCCATTCAAGAGAAATGAAAGTTTGAACTTACTGCAGCAGGTGACAGATCACACAAAGAAAATCTTGGAATCACAGTGTTGATGTTCATCACAGGATATAACTTGTGAAGATGAGACAGAAATGTAGCCATAGACAACTTGCCCACCGCCACCAGCAAAAGCATGTATGAATTGGTTTGAGATAACAGAAACGTACAAGAAGAATAAGGGGGAAAAAAGAAGAGAAGCAGTCGGCAAGTCATCCTTGGCTACACACCACATTTGGTCAAAACCCAAACTCTGCTCTCATCTTCACATGATAGACCCTATAGATGATAGTTGGAAAAAGGAAGACCTTCCACTCCAGAGTCCAGACTTTTTTCTTCTTCTTCATATTGCTGCTTCGACATCAGTGGTTCCAAAATGAGCCGGTATATATTAGTAGAATTTGGGGTGTATTGTATTTGTAGAGCAATTAGTGAATTATTCACGGAGGCGCCCCTTGTTTCATGGTACGACTGTCCAATGGAGATGGGATGCAGAGGAAAGGGAAAGAATGGGTTTCCTGAAATCAAGGTTTTCTCCATATCGAACACATGAGGATATTGATGAGACAGTTGCAGATTTGGTCACACCCCACCACTGAGAGAAACAGTCCAACAAGAACAGCAAGAAGAGTGGGGTTACTTTCCACCAAACCGAACGGATTGGCAAGCAAATTGATGAAACAGTAAATTTAGAGGTCCTACGGATTTCCCCCCCTAAATACAAGCCTTCTTATAAAAATTCCCAATGCACACCACTTCTATTAAAATTTTCCTAAATACACGAGTTCGACGTGGTTCGCTGGAGTATCCAGCGATCTAGATACTAATTCGGTGGAGTATGGAGCGAACCAGCAAGGACGCGGCTGACTAAAGCGAACCAACCTCGAATTAACATGGATCGTGGTAACCAAACCGATCCACCCGAATCGTTGTCAAGGCTAGCGATCTAGCCCCCAAATTTGATGGAGTGTCTAGTGATCTATACCTAACATATGTCTCCAAAAGTTATGTTAAATTTAAAAAAAAAAAATGCTACGATCGGCTAACCAAACTCAAAGTTACGATCGTTTGAAGATTCCAAGTGTATTAGGTATGGATCGTTGGACACTGCAACGATTTTTGGTGCATGATCTCTGGTGTCATTAGCTATCCGGGTGGATAGCTCCTGTCCCCCGCAATCCATGTTGGTTTGAGCCAGTTCCCTCCAGTTGGTCACGATCTAGGTTCGTTTGCTCTAGTCTCCAATAAACCAGTACCTAGGTTGTTGGTCACTCCAGCTAAAAGTGCCATATTTGTGTATTTTGAAAATTTTTAGTGTGTAGTATTGTGAAATTTTTTTATAGGAAGTCTAGTATTTGTGGGGGTGGGGGAAAATCCTCGTACTTGCCAAAAGAATTATCATATGACTTAACTTTAAATTGGCTCTAGTTCAATACGAGGTTCAAACTTTAGGATCAGTAATTAATCATCTATAACAAACTTGAAGTTTATATTGACAAATAATAATAGGTAGGGTTGCTAATGAACCGAGTCCAGTTAAACTTATCCTTGATTCAGACTCAACTTGATAAAAGTTACCTCATCAAGCTACACGAGATTAATAGGCGGAATCATCCTCAACTCATTTTATGAAAATCAAATCCTGACTGAAGCTCAGCTTGGCAAATTAGCTTAATTAGGTGGCAATGCCGCGCCTTGTTGCGGGTGGAAATGGCTTATGGGCATGTATTATGTGACCTGTTATGGTGTTTTGTTAGTATTATTAGTCTAAATATTTTTTTGTTAGTTTTTTTATTAGTAATATTGACTTCAGAATATGATATTGAATGAGAAAAGATATATGGCGGTCAACATCCAATTTTAAAAATTCTGAAAATTTTCGCTAATAAATTATATTTACCTAAACCCAAATAGACCCATTGATTATGGGTAGGTATGAGGGACATATATATGGGTTTGGGAGTTTGAAGTGGATTTGGGTAGGATACTAATATTTACTTTCATAATCTAAATGTGTATGAGTTAGGTATGGATACCCATTTATTCGAGGGTGTTTTAATTACACAAACAAAAATTATACCTATTTTAGAACTTCAAAAGTTTAGGTAACAAAATGTAATGCACAAAAAATTTAGGTACTAAAATGTAATGTTACAACAATATTTTGAGAACTTACGTGCTAAAAAATAAATTTAGGTTATAAATGTAAAGATCAAATAAGTTTAGGTACCGAACTATAATATGCATAGTTGAGGCTTAATTCCTTTTATGATGATATATTTAAGATGATAATTAACTTTTTTATAAAAATAGGAAACTATTTATTTGATATGTGTAGATACCTAGCCAAACATTCCATATATAATTGTTGAAAATTCTAGCTCGGGTGAAAAAGAAAAACTCTAGAGAGAAGCAAAAGGAATACAAACTGGATCTCGCTTAAAATTTCACGCCTTCAAATCCCATTGTGGAAAATGATGACATTCTAATAAGTAATAACCATATTTATTTATTTTTAATTGTACTCGACATTGAGCTGAAAAAGTTAGTGGTTCCTGGTTAAATTATTAATTCTCTAGACTATTGGTGAGTCGTGTACGGACGCATTCATACTTGTTATTAGAAAAAATAAAAATAGTATACTAATTAGGGTTATGGAAGGCGAGTGAAAAAAGAAACGAAAACTAATTAGGGTTATGGAAGGCGAGTGAAAAAAGAAACGAAAACTAATTAGGTTTATGGAAGGCGAGTGAAAAAAGAAACGAAGAGGAAGTAGATGATGGAAAGGTTTTGACCAATTCTTTTAGTTGATCGTCAATACAACAGTCAACTCTTTTCACCGTAGCAATTTATTGACACTTGCTTATGTAGATGTCGCATATTTTGTTACATGTAGTAAATAGAAGTTTTTTAGGCAACAATAACGGTGCTTTAGATTTATATATAGTAAATCTAAACATTACACCAATATGTAATTTTAAAAAATTTACGTATGAAAATCTCATAAAATTTAGATACCAAAACATAATTATTCAAAAAATTTACAGTAAAATTAAATTTGGAGTATCAAAATGTAAAATGTACATTCTAGTGACTAAGTTGTGATTTAATTAAATTTGGAGTACCAAAATGGTATTTTTTTAGGCAACAGTAACGATACTTTATGTTTATATATAGTAACTAGCCAAACTAAAGTTTAGCTAGATCGTTGTAGCTTGAGTTTGACCTCAAACTCATCTTCAATTCGAATTCTAACTTGTGGTGAAGTCTCTATATTGTTAAGGTAAATACAATGCTAACCCCAATTTACATATTTATAGACCACTTAGACATAGCATTGGACGAAAGATGCTTCTTGGTTTAACACATTGTTACAAGTATAATTGAACATTTAAATGTTCTCCATAGCATTGGACGAAAGATGCTTCTTGGTTTAACACATTGTTACAAGTATAATTGAACATTTAAATGTTCCGGAGATCAAGTTCTAGGATTTCAAACAGAGATATAATCACAAGGTTAAAACTGATCTTACAAACATTGAGCTGACATCAAACCTTTAATACACATTCTTCTCAACCCTAACCTAAATCCTAATTAAACTTAAATGTAAATTTACCTTCTCATATCTTTCTCTTATAAATTGTAGATGAGATACATACCCAAACACATTTTTAAATCTCAAATCATATTATATGTAAGCTATATGTTTGTACCATCTAGCTCTGGTATCAACAATGATATTTGTCGGTGTGGGGTTGACTCACGATCCGTTCGTCTGATCTCGTCGGGAGAGAAGAAACCTGTGAAAGGACCGGGGATGCCCCCGGATTAAGCTCCGACGATCAAGTTAGTTTATGCTTAAGATGAGAGTTGAGAGAATAAGGTGGAGAGATGAAGTGGAGGGAGATAGTGGAAAGTAGAAAGTGAGGAGAGAGAAGAAGTCCCCTCCTTTGGGGGGGCTTCAAGCCCTTATATACATGTAGCGCGTATCGCGCGTCGCGCATCGCCGATTGTCCGCCCCGTACTTAGTATGTGAACGGAGTATTTAGTAACACCTCCAACAATTGCCCCCCAAGCTGGTGGTGAGTCTTAACTCATCGCTAGCTTATTATTATTTATTTATTTTTTTAAATCTTTGTCGGTAATTTTGGATGGAGCCCTTTGTACCCCAGTTGCCCCCCAGCTGGTGGCGCGTTTGGTTGACGCGGTGCCAGCTTCTTGCGTCCTGTACCCCCGTTGGTGTATTTCATTAAGGCGTGTAGCCTTCACCCATTGTAG